CTTTAATAAAACAATGTAATTTTAAATCTTTTTCATCTTAATTTTTTTAAAGTTTAATTAATCTATATATCAAGTTTCTCAAACCACACATAGAATATTGAGAGTATAAATCAAAAGTTATATAATTTTAATTAGAATATCTAATCCAAGGAGAATATAAATAGTGATAACTTCTTTAGAGTTATCATACGATATTTTCATTACCCTCCTTTAAGTGATGAAATGTTAAAAATTGATCTACTCTTTATTATTATGATTTTTTTTTATCTCCACAGTGCTTTATGCAATGATAGTTTATATGGTTCTAAGTCCTTGATCCATGTGACCAGGTGTTTTTTTATTATTATTTATGTAAATAAAGTTTTATTTAGTTAAAAGGATAATTGCATTATCCTACTTTTCTATTGGCCCTAGTAACTATTACATTATTAGTATTACTACATTAGTTAGTATTTTCTATTGGCCCTACTTTTCAGTCTCTGATTTTTTCGGCTGTGATTACATGTGAAAGGATCAGCAAGTTACTAAGGTCTTTCATAAGTATCAGCAATAATTTTACAAAAGTTAATCAATTTTATCTTAAAATTTTACAATCTTACACCATACTACTACTTAAGTGTGACAAGCTTTGTTAGAGACATAAATTGATTCACATCTTCGCCGTTACCGTCATGCGGCTATGGCAAGATAAAATTGTGTGTAAATACAACAGTGGCGCTCTCATGTTTTCTCCCTTATATAAAAAAAAATTTATTTTTGTTAAAACATCAGTTATTTTTTAATTTTATACAAAAATTTTAAAAATAATTTATATATTTATATATATTAAACAATATATTGAAAGATAAAAACTAAAAAACTAAAAAAGAGATAAATTAATAATAATAATAATAATAATAATAATAATAATAATAATAAAAAACACGTAAGCGAGAGAATATGATACCTTCCAAGAAAACCTTACAATTTTATTAAAAAAAAGTTAAATGTTAAATTTGGCCCCTCAACTTTAGTGAGTTACACATTTTTTATTTTTAAATAATTTTTTGCACTTTTTTGATCCTTTGACTATGAAAATTGCACAATTTTAGTCCTTTTGTCAGTTAAGTATGATGTGGCAGTTAAATAATTTCATGTGGCATTGTTTTTTAATTTTTTTGATGATGTGGCAATAATATATATTATAATTATATTATATAAATAAATAAAAATACCACATAGATTAATATACATATTTTAATTAAAAACATATAAAATTACCTTACTACCTTCACCTTCACCCTCACTCTCCCAATCCCTTTTCTTCCCCTTCTTTCTTTCTCTTTCTTTCTTTCTTTCCTGCCTGGGATAGGTTGGGTTCGGTGGAAACCCAACCTTGTTGGGTTCGTCGACTAGCGAAGGCTGGGTTCATCAAAACCCAGTAGATCTGGGTTTTGACGAACCCAACAAGGCTAGGTTTGATTGAAACCCAACCTTGCTGGGTTCGTCAACCAGCCAAGGCTGGGTTTGCCGGAACCCAACCAAGGCTGGGTTTCAACCAAACCCAGCTTTGCTGGGAAGCTTGGTTCTTGATTTTTCATTTTTCTGTCGATTTCCATTTCCAGTTGTTAATAAATTTGGAGATTAATTTATAATTTGATTGCATTTTTGTTGGAATTTGATTAAAGTTTGATTGTATTTTTGTTGAAATTCGATTAGAGTTTGATTGATATTATTTATTGAAGGGTTATTTTGATTTGATAAGATCTGTCAGGTTTGAGGTTTCAATGAAACCAGTAGCTCAAGTTTCCCTGAGAAAAGAGAAGAAGAAGAAATGGGTGGGTTAAGATCGGTTTTGTAGATGGAGTGGAGATGAGAGAGCATTCATGGAAGAAGAAGAAATGGGTTAAGATCAATTTTGCAGATGGAGTGGAGATGAGAGAGCATTCACGGAAAAAGAAGAAATGGGTTAAGATCGATTTTGCAGATGGAGTGGAGATGAGAGAGCATTCAGAGAATAAGAAGAAATGTGTTAAAATCGATTTTGCAGAGGGTGAAGATGAGA